CCGGGGAGCCACCGACAACCGGCGCTTCCCACCGCGTGGAGCCCCCGCGCTGTCGCCTCCAGGTTCACGCACAGAAAGCGGCTGTGACCCCAAACCGCTCTCACGCTGCCCCAGGCTGTTTCCCGGGCCGAATTCGGAGACAGACGGAGGCTGCGGGCGGCATCCCGGGGACGCGGCCCTCCCCGCGCCCGGAGGCTCCCGCTGCGGCTCCTCGCCGCCTCCTCCCTGCCCGCTCCGGCCAGGGCCAGCACACGGCGCCGGGCGGGCTCCTTCGCGGCCCAGTCCCGAGCGGCCGGCCGGCTGCGGGGCAGGAGGTGGCCCTGCTCTGGGGAGGTCCGCCCTCCCAGCAGCTCACCGAGGCGGCTGGCTCGGGGCTCCCGGGGCTCGGTGGGCCCGCGGCGTCGGCTGGACTCGGGGCTGATGTGGGAGCTGGGAACCCCACGGCCCGGGACGCCCCGGGAGGATCCGCTCCGGGTGCGGGGCGGGGGCGAGGCTCAGCGAGCACCGCTCCCCGCTCCAGCCCCGCTCCAGCCCGGGCTCCGCGCAACGCCATCCGGCTAACAAGTCCCAGGCACCTAGGGCTGCAAAAGGAAAACACAGAACAAAACCAAAAATCCAAAAAAAGAAAGAAAGAAAAAGAAAGGTTCCACATGACTCTGCCAGCCGCTTTGGGAAATCAGAATAAATGCCTCCAAAGCACCATTTTAAAGGGGGGTGGGGGGGGTGCAGAGTTCTGCCCCCGCGGGTCAAGCTCCCGCTGCGAGGGGCTGCGGGCCACGCGGCCCTCGGTCCGCTCGGGGGTCGCGGCCTCAGCGCGACGCTGCCTCCCGGCTCCGCGGCCGGGAAAGGGCCGGGCATCGCGGGGACGGAGCCGCCCGAGCTCACCCACGCGGGCGGGCTGGGTCCTGCTAACTCACCCAGGTCGTTTTAACTGGTTAATAAAGCAATTGGCACTCAACAAAACCGCCGTCGCCGCGGGAGTCCTTGGCAATAAAGTGAGAATCACAACTACCGGTTTGTTGTCGTTGTTAACTGCCTTTATTACCATTACTTAGTATTCCTAAAGAAAGAAAGAAAGAATAGAACACAACAGAATAGAACACAACAGAACAGAACAGAACAGAACAGAACAAGGAACAGGGCTGAAGAAGAGAGAATCCTTTCAGACCCAAAGGCACATAAAGGAGATCCCTTCTCTTTTTCTCTGAAACCAGAGCCCGGTTTTCTGGATTAGCCCTCAGTGAGCCACCACCAATAACGCTGGGAGAGAGAGACAGGAGCTCTGAGCACCGCGTTCCGGGTGGAGTATAAATGGTTAATGGCGACTCCCTTAAAACGCATAAAATTTTATCTGACTCTTGGCCCTGATTTAAGGTACGGATGCTTTATATGGTCGTGCTCTATCTACAGGATTAGACGACACAGAAAGAGTGAAAATAAGGAGAATGAGATATATTCTAACCTGTTTCCTGAGGTGAAGAAAATACGTTCATTTCATTTTGACACCCTTCCCCCCTCCCCCCCGCACCAAATTCTGTGCAAGGGATATTAGAAAATATAAACTGTCCAGTTATGTAATTTTCCTATCAGAACACCCGACTTATGGAAACTGGCATCCCCAACTGTGATTCTGCTCTTGCAGACCGATTCCGATGCCGGCTACACACAACAAGTCCCCGGAGTGAGTGCCCAAGCCAAGCCGTGGATCAGGGAAAGCTGACCAAAGCCCCTCTCGTCCCCTTCTTGGTTCACGGAGGTAGGAAAAGCGCTGTCCCACACTGTACATCATTTCCCACGGAGCCAACTAAAAATCCCCTTCTATCTGCCAGGGATTGTTGGGGGAGGAATTAAACCCTGAATGTGTAATGCTCCTTTGCAACTGCAATCAAAACCTATTTAGATGTTTTGAAAAGTATCTCGAGAACATGGTATTTGTTCAGGGACCTGCATCTAGCATTAAGTCTGATGTGGAATTTTTCCATTTTAAGTAAAGCAGAGAAAGAAAGCAACAACAACAACAACAACAACAACACACACACACACACTCACACACACTCACACAAAATCCAGGCCTAGGAGTTCTAGGTGTATTGCTGCATTTTGGAAGGTGCACCGGGCAGATGCCACAGAACCAAGAGGAACTTATTAAATCTTAGCTTCTCAAAGACACTGTCAAGTGTACCTGGGTGGCCTGGCAGTCACAGGAACTCTACTCCACAACATCCTTCCTTCTCTCTCCTCAGCAGGACACCTCCCACCAGGGCCTCCACACCACTGCTGTTTTAAAGGATGTATTTTAGAACCCACCAAATATTCAAAGGTCAAAATGAGTCCCTTTTTTGATAAGAGAGGGTCTAATCCCCCCTTTGAACACAAGAGGTCGCTCCTGGGACCAAATACTGGGGGAAATATTGCTAATCACTATTTGATATATTCTATAAATACATTACAGAAATTTTTTACAGATACATTTAATGCATTAAATGCACACATCAGCGAAGGAAATGGGACTAATCTGTGATTCTATTGCAACTTCCAGGCGAAGGGAAACAATTAGTACCTGCTATCCAAACAGATTCTGATGCCAACTGCATCAGAAAGACACCACTCCAGAGCGAAACAACATACTCATCGGGTTCCCTCAAACTGCCCCATGGACAGGGGCAGCGTCTGCTTAATCTTCACATCCATGGGCCTGGGAACTTGCTAGCAAAATACTTGTTTACAACACCAGTGGGCTGCAGCAGGCAAAACACACTGTCCTCCCTTTAGTATGACATTGCCCGGCACTAGCGGTTTTCCTCCACGGGCACGCCAGCTTCTGTCTGGAACTGCTCTCACCATCAGCAATATTCTTGGCACAGCTCATTGGTTTAGGGAGTTACAACCCCACACTGAGTGTGTAGCTGGTGGGAAGGAGGGCGCTTTGTGAATTTCAAATATGAGCCCTCAGGCTTCTGGCAGCTTCCGTGGTTCAATTCCACGGTATAAAGGCGGCATGATGGCATATGATCGGTTAAAATCCTGTTTACTTTCTGGTGTTACACTGGCATCTCTTTTATTTTCCTAGAGTCAACTTGGTTATCTACCCAGGAAACATGCCCGTATACTGGGAAGCCAACGTCAGTTTTGCAAAAGCAGCTGACAAAAGGCTCCATCATAGAACAGCAGAGACTAGAAATTATCACCCAAAACCAAAACCAAAAATCTGGTAAACTGATCAACCAATTTGTGCATCCGACTTTCTATAGCTCTCTTGCTCTCTTTCTCTCTCTCTCTCTCTCTCTCTCTCTCTCTCTCTCTCTCTCTCTCACACACACACACACACACACACACACACACACACACGGACAGAGCTCACAATGAAAATAAAAGAGATGGGATCCAGTTAGAGATCTTCCTTGGGAGAAAAGAAAACACCACAAATGCATGTTCTTGAAAAAGCCTCGGCGAGGCCAGGCGGACACTCACGCATCTTGGCTTCTCCTGAGCTCAGGCAAACCCAGCCACCGAGGCCGGCTGGCGGCTGGCGGCTCTTATCAAGGGTGAGATCTGGGGGAAAGGATACAAAGAAAGGAGTTTCCTCACCGCCGGCCTCGTTCCGGGCAACAAGACACCAAAATTACCCCTATTCTACCGCGGCCTGAGTTTGTGGGCCTCTTCAGATAAACCTGGCAGCCACGTTAGATAAGGAATCACTATTTAGAAGCTTTAGGGGGAAATGTGGGGGCTCCTGGGGGCGGGGGCGCTGAGACTTTGTCTTAGGGAGACGGAAAGATGCCAGGAACATGGAAGAATTTACTGGAACGGGTTCCCGGCGAGCTGCAGCCGGCATTCATTCCTCTCCAGGTTGTTTTCAGAGAGAACATGAGGATATCCACGCCAGGTTAAGTGAAATCCGTATTTCACTGTTTTATCTTAGACCCCTCCCTACTCTCGCCCTTGGACTAATGCATTTTAGAAATCTCTAGAGAGACATGGGAATTTGTCTTTATAATGACCGAAACGCCACCAGCTAATTGCACACGTTTACTCAGAGACAAAGGGCAGGAGACCAGCAGAGAGAGAGAGAAACTGGGCAGGACATAACCTCTTCACAAACTCGAAACTACTGGGAGGCCATTTCGTTTGGGGCTCGTGTGAGCTTCCTAACTCCAGAGTGAAGCTGGCACAGCAGCCGTCGCGGGGCGCGAGGGGAGAGAGGAGTTCGCGGAGCCAAGTGGGTTTTACCTGCGCGCCTCCCACCAGATCCTCCGCTAAGGCCGGCGCGCTCCTGCCCTTCCACCCCGCGTGTTTGGAGATCGGGGCTCGGAGGGGACGGGGTCCCGGGGGAGCAGTAGCGAACAATTCCTCTGGGTGCGTTCATCCCACCCCCGGGCCGTCTTCTCCGAGTCAGCTCCCAGCGGGCCCGGCGGAACCAGCTGGGGAACTCACCCTCCCGGGCAGCCAGGCGCGGCCAGGCCCGGAGCTGTGCACCCCAGTGCAAGGTCGAACCAAGCCAAACGGGCTGTTCCATGTGGCCCCTTTGCTAGCACCCGGGGGGGGGGGGGCGGGGGACCTCATCCTCGGGAAGACCTACCCACCAGCCGCTCGCCCGCGGCGGTAGAAAAGTGAGCCCGGCGCGCAACACGGCCGGCGGGCACCCCAGGAGCGCTGGGCGGAGGAGCGGCGCGACAGGCGGCGAGGGCCCCGGCGGCGCGGCCGGGAAGGAGCGAGGGAGGGGGCGGGAGGAGGCGCGGCAGCCGGAGAGGGAGGCCGAGGCCCGATCGGCCGGGCGGCGAGCGCCGGGGAGAGCGGCGGCCCCGGCACGGGCGGCCGGGGAGCCCCCAGCCCGTCCCGCGGGCGCGCCGCGCGGTCAGTGGCGCACGGCGGCGGCGGGGCTGAAATATGATAATCAGAACAGCTGCGCCGCGCGCCCCGCAGCCAATGGGCGCGGCGCTCGCCTGACGTCCCCGCGCGCTGCGTCAGACCAATGGCGATGGAGCTGAGTTGGAGCAGAGAAGTTTGAGTAAGAGATAAGGAAGAGAGTGCCCAGCCGCGCCGAGTCCGCCGCCGCCGCAGCGCCGCCGCTCCGCCTGCTCCGCCGGCTCCGCCGCCTCCGATTGGACTCCCCGATCGGCGAGGGCGCGGCGGCCGGGCAGCCCCCGGGCCGCGGTCCCCCCTGGCCCGCAGCTCCTGCATCCTCTCTGTGGGCTGTGCACCAACCGTGCAACCACCATTTCACTGTGGACACTACTCCCTCTTACCGATATGGGAGACATGGGCGATCCACCAAAAAGTAAGAGGCTCTTTTACCTTGTGGGGCTCGGTGTGCTGGTCTGTGCGGGGGGCTCTCTGGCACGCGTGCCAAGGGCTCTTCGGAGTTGGAGTTCTTGCCTGGAGAGACACACGGAGACGGCGGCTTTGGCTCCCGGCCGCCACGCCTGCATGCTCGGCTGTCGGTTCTGATCTTCGGGAAACGGATCAGACCTGGGGTTGGAGTTCGCCCGTGCGCCCCCCGAAGCCCTAGCCTTCTGGTGCTACCGGGCGGCTTCCTCCCGGGGAGCCCCGAGCTCTCCGAGACGGCGATTCTGTCGCAGAGGTCTGCCTGCACGCACAATACCCGGCGAGGTGAAGCAGCATTAGACTTGCAAAGGAGAACGAGTGACAACTGTATTGATGTGTGCTCTTGCTAACGAGAGCCAGTCCCCGGGACCGTTCGAGAGCGCGCTTCGTGAAAACACAGGCATCCCTGCGTTCCCTGAACGCTTCTAGTCAAAACCTTTTCTTTGGCTTGACTTATTCATAATCGTTCAGGGTGGCTATGGCGAAGAGGGAGGAGGGGAGAAACAGAAATGCAAAATGAACGGGTTTGATGGTGTGCTAGGCTTACAAATGTGGACTATTCAAATGTGCATTTTACATATATTCCACCTCCTTTTTTGAAAAAACGAGTCAGGGTTTTGATGGCACGCTTCAATTACCATTCCAAAGTGCAATGCGCTTTAAAGAAAAAGAAAGGGAGAGGGGTGGGAGGAGGAAACCTCCCAGCGTATGCCCTATAAGAGAGCGATCCTAAAAGTGTGTTTATCTCGGTAGGAAGTAAACGGTTAGTCAATCATGTATTTATTTTCATTTCAGAAAAACGTCTGATTTCCCTATGTGTTGGTTGCGGCAATCAAATTCACGATCAGTATATTCTGCGGGTTTCTCCGGATTTGGAATGGCACGCGGCGTGTTTGAAATGCGCGGAGTGTAATCAGTATTTGGATGAGAGCTGTACGTGCTTTGTTAGAGATGGGAAAACCTACTGTAAGAGAGACTATATCAGGTATGCCGCGTACATTCTGCTTCCTTCGCCTCCTGAGATGTGCCTGTCTCTCCCCACGCCTCACTTATTATTTGGTGTAAAATGGTGTGACTTCGCCTGTTTTCCTAGTTTGCCTTAGTGGGGTCTGGTGTGCCAAAGTTACCCAGAACGTGTATTGCATAAATTAAACTAAGCTGTTCATCTTACTTTTTAGGGGAAACCCCTGCAAAATTTGACAGTAGTTTTCATAAGTGATGTGTTACTGAAGCTTGTTGAATTGCTCTTGGAATTTATGGTGCTCAAAATATTTTTCTTTTTCACCCTCCCCCTCCCAAAACAAACAAAAAATGCATAGAGGAATAAATTGGGGTTTCTAAATTTTAAAAATATTGATTTTTATTGTATTGTGCAGTATTTTTCTTTCCGTATGCTTTAGTTCAGGGTTTTATTAGTAACTTACAAATTCTTTGGAGATGTCAGTGTAATGGGCAAAATAAAAGTTTGACTTAAACATGCATTTTGAAACAGCAAGTAGCCTTTTACTTTTAGGCTAAGAGTTTCTACCTTGAAAATCTAAAAACAAACCCAGATATTTTCTGCAAAAAGGACGGAAATTTAATCTTTTTAAATATTAACCCTTTGGTGACATCTGACTGTCTTTTCTTTCTTATCTTATCTGAGCTGATGAATTAGACAGAGCAGATCAAATTGCCCATCATCCGTCTACGAACAATTGGTATATTTAGATAATTGAACAGCTTCCTTTCTCACATTAAAATCTGGTAACTGATAAAATGAGCGAATTGCCCATACCGACAAGACTAAAAACCACATAAGGGACTTTCTGAGTTTTCTTTTTTCTTTCAGTGTATTCTGCGTCTAAACTTCATGCTTTGCTAATCTCATACATTCTTCTGACCTGGGTATATATGTGTGAGAAACTTCATTTCCTGTCTTGGGAAGCCAGTCGAATGTATAAAGAAAATTTTATTGTTTCAATAACAAACCGAAGAGATAATACCTTTGCTATTATGTTAAAAATATCAAAATTACATATTTTTAAAAATTCTCTGGTGGCTATTAACAAACAAAAAATTAGCTTCTTGTAACTCCTGGAGTTTCTTTCTGGAGCTGGGAACTTATTTAAAGTTTAGTCAAAATTTAAGTATGCACTTAAAATTTTTCCTGCTCGCTTCGTGTCCAGGATTTTGTATTATTTTAAAAGCACGAAGTGGTGAGTAGAATCTTGATAGATCCAACTGAGCAATGCAAAGAGAAGTTACGGAGACTTTGATGGAGGTGGGGGGCGAGTGGGAGGAAGTGGGGAAGCGGGGAACCCACGAAGGGGGAGGGGTTTTCCAAATGGTTTGGTCACCAGCAAGGTGAAGCCCTCATCCTATGAAATGGGAGATCTCACCGAGAGGAGGCGGAGGGAGGCAAACTTTGGAATCTACCTTCTAACCTCTGACAAATGAGCCCTTTCCCATTGTTTACCGGATCGGTGTGTGAACTGGCGATTCTGGCGAGGGAGCGCTCACTTCGCGCCTCCGGAGCAGTATCTCTCCCCCGCGGAGATAGGGCTGTGCCCCATTGCCGGACTGCATACCGACCTGCCAGGGCCTAGCTCTGGAGACACGGTGTAGAAGGAGCCCATTGCTGTTAGCCCTTCCTCTCCTCTCGCAACCCCTGTGTGTGTGTGTGTGTGTGTGTGTGTGTGTGTGTGTGTGAACCTCCCTTTGAGATCCTGTTGTTGTAAAAGCAGAACAGAGGGGTCCTTCAGTTTTCCCAGGGCCTTCTCCCCTTGGGGGAGTGAGGTGCCCCCTCCCTGCTTTCTGCGGGTCACTTTGTAGCAATGCCCGCTTCTGTTGGCGCCCGTACCGGCCAGGGGCCCGGCCAGTGCCGCCCCGAAGGACCTACCGGGAAAGGTCAGCCGCGGGGAAGAGGCCTGGCTCTCCCGCAGACGGAACTAGAGGCAGATGCTTCGGCCCCTGGAAAGGGGTTGAGGGCAGCCGCAGCCACAGCCGCAGCGGATTTAAAAAACAACAATGAAAGGACGACCGCGGAGGAAACTTTCTGTTAACATTGTTGCCCGCGGGGAACCTCTAGTTCCGGTCAAATCGGCGCGGACTCCTGCGGGATCGATCTGCAAACCTCGGTTTCATTTTGTTGTTTTGCTTGTGCATTTGGGGGGGGGAGGGTGTGCACACCGCGTGGCGTGACGGTCTCTTTTTCCCCTGGATGGAGGCCTTCTGGTTGCAGGTTTTGAGACCTTTTCTAGAACGTGTGGGCCAGCGGGTACCCACTCGGTGGCTGATCGCTGCAGCCGCGCGCGGCCCAGGCTTCAGAGCACAGGAGGCATTTGTCCTCGGCGTGGCCTGGGCGAGCGGAGAGGTGCGCGGAGACCGGAGAGGGGTTCGGACGGAGGCAGAGGGGAAGGAGGAAAGGGACAGGGAGCGAGACCTCATGGCGTCGGTGCTTCCGACCCCAGCTGGTCTGTGGATGCCGATCTCGGGGGGCTCAGGGCCTTGGGGCCCCGGTCGTCGCTGGTCTCAGACGGGACAGTGTCCGCCTAAGTGACCGCTGCCCTGTGCTTCTCCCCGGCCCGGCCCGGCCCGCCCAGGTTGTACGGGATCAAATGCGCCAAGTGCAGCATCGGCTTCAGCAAGAACGACTTCGTGATGCGCGCCCGCGCCAAGGTGTACCACATCGAGTGCTTCCGCTGCGTGGCCTGCAGCCGCCAGCTCATCCCGGGCGACGAGTTCGCGCTGCGCGAGGACGGGCTCTTCTGCCGCGCGGACCACGACGTGGTGGAGCGGGCCAGCCTGGGCGCCGGCGACCCGCTCAGCCCCCTGCACCCGGCGCGCCCGCTGCAGATGGCAGGTACGCTCGGCCCCCGGAGGAGGCCGCCCGGGCCCGAGGAGGCGGCTCCGAGGCCGGCGCCGGGCCAGTGCCCGCGCGCACCCGCGGCTGCCGCCAGCGACCCCGGTCGCCCCGGGGCGGTCGCTGGGGCGGTGGCCGCAGGGCGCCCAGGTGCGGGGTGCCGTGGGCACCGCGTGGCCTGGGGCGGCCGGGTTCGGTGCGCTCATGGCCCCTGCTGCCGCCGCCCGCACAGCTGCGGGGTTGCACACGGGCGCACGGGAATGCACACCAGGTGCTCACAGGTAGACACACGCCCGGGCAGAGCTTCCGTTCACCTTGGCCTTCGGGCCGCGGCTTCCCGAAACCGGCCCCGGCTCCCGCCCGGTACTCGCCCCGCCGCTGCCTAAGGAGGGGGGTGGAGTCCCGGCCGCCCCGGCCTCTCCTCCGACCCAGCGAGGGCAGTTCGGTGCCTGAAGTCACTGAGCTCCTCAAATCCCTCTTCTGCCCCCCCACGCCAAAGCGTCTTAACAATGTATTTTCATCCTTTTGTGGGGAAATGCGCATGAGAAGATAGAATAACTGCAGGCCCGTGCGCAGGGCTGTAATTTAAAACTGTCAACAAACTAATCTGCAGTAATTGCCTTTTAAAGGGCGCCTGCCCCTTTAAACCATGCCTTCTGAGGGACCCGGTGAGAATCTCCTCTCTGGGCCGGTGGCTGTAACACCGAATTGACCCCATGGGTGTTGCCCTGACCCCTGGGGGTCCTGGGAGGTGTGGGATTTGTACCCCGCAGGTCGGGGAGCCTTTTCCCAGGAAGGGGAGTGAAACAGCCCTGTCGCCTGGCCAGGAGCGGGTGGAGGGGGGGTGGGGGGTGGAGGAGGTGTTCAAAGGCAGACACTGTTTCCAAGCCTGCCTTCCGGTCATGAACAGATCTGCCCGCTGCATTTTTAAAGTATCGATTCCCTCTAAACCTGGCGGAGAGAGCTGCACTCACCCCTCTGCTGGCTGGCAGCCGGGAGAGGTCTGCGGGGGATGTGCGACGCGCTGGGCAGGGGACAGAGCCAGAGGGCGGCAGCTCCTGCTCAGGCTACCTGTGCTCTGCTGCTGGTGGGGGCAGCCAGGGGGCCAGGGTGCTGGGGCAGAGTCAGGAGCCGCACTTCCCAGCTGCCCTTCCTTATCTGGAGCCCAGGCCTCAGCCAAGTTTCAGTTTTCCTTCGCCTGGGCTCAGCCACGTCGCAAACACCCAGGTAGATGAGGACTAAGGAAGACCAAGGACTGGAGAGCCGGCCCAAATGCCCCATTTCTTTAGCCCCTGGACACGAGTGGCCCCTCCGCACTGAGTCCACGGCCCTCCGGCAGGACTGTCCTGGGTTGCAGACACCCTGGCTGGCAGTGCCTGGCGTGTTCTGCGTCCCCTTCCCCGGAGCCCTCCGTGCCCTTGGCCCAAGCGTCCGGAGGTGGGGGTGCTTGGTGTCACCTGGGCCCGCCCTGGGTGCTGGGGAAGGCCCGGAGGGAGGAGAGGGGACGCCGAAAGGGGCCGCCCGGGCTCCGAGCCGGGGCCAGGCTCTGGGAGGCGCGCCCCTTGGCGATCTGGATGTTGACAGGGCAGGGACAGGGGCAGCTCGGGCGCGGATGACTCCGTTGTGACCACAGATTAGAGAGCGAGGTTTGGCTCCGCCTCGGCGGCCAGGCTCTAGGCGGCGGGGAGGGGGACCCCCGGCCCCTGGCCCGCGCTCACGGCGCCCCTCGCCCCGCAGCCGAGCCCATCTCCGCGCGGCAGCCCGCCCTGCGGCCGCACGTGCACAAGCAGCCGGAGAAGACGACCCGCGTGCGGACGGTGCTCAACGAGAAGCAGCTGCACACGCTGCGGACCTGCTACGCCGCCAACCCGCGGCCCGACGCGCTCATGAAGGAGCAGCTGGTGGAGATGACCGGCCTGAGCCCGCGCGTGATCCGGGTCTGGTTCCAGAACAAGCGCTGCAAGGACAAGAAGCGCAGCATCATGATGAAGCAGCTGCAGCAGCAGCAGCCCAATGACAAGACCGTGAGTGCCGCCGGCCGGAGGGGGCGGGGAGGGCGCCGGCCAGGGGGCCCGGCTGGCCGGCAGGCCTCGGTGTCCACCCTGCTCGGGAGCAGGAGCTCTGGCAGGCGGCCCCACACCCCAGGGCCAGCCTGAATGGGGGTGCAGGCTGGGGTGGAACTCTAGCGGGTGGGATGGTTAACCCACCACCCCAGCCTTCACGGGTGGGCTCATGCCCCTCAACCTTGTCCCCATCCACACAGCGACCCCTCTGCGGGCAGGCGAGAGGCGGCCAGGCCTGGCTCTGGGTTTGACATTCAGGTCCTCAGCTCTAGGTGCCCTGAGAGGGAGGGACAAGGCTTGGCTTTCTATGAAATCCAGGGTAGGGGGGGAGGGGTATCCTGGAGGCCCCCCGGGTCCCCTGCCCTCCACCGGCTAGGCCTTCTGCAGCACCTTGAGGCTTGCGAGGTCCCCCAAGGTGACCCCAAAGACAGGGCACCCTCTGCTCAAAGTCAAGCCCAGGCTGCAGAGATGTCAGGCCCTGGCACTGTCCCCCCACCTCTCTCCTCCCTGGTCACAGCAGCTCCCACCACAGGCCTTCTGGTTAAAAGAGCCTCACGAGTTCCTTTTCCCCCCCTCTTTTGCTTTTTACTGCTTTGGCCCTATTTTTAAATGCCATAAAACCAGCTGTCATTAAACTTGGCAGGCCGGCCCAGCCTGGGCCGGGGTACTTTCTAAGCTGGTTAGTGCTTAATAGTACAACAGCCGCCAGACCCAAGGGCTGGAGGGTGGGGGTGGCCTGCAGGGAGAGCTGCCTGGAGAAAACCTAACCGAACAGGTCAGTGAAACTGCCCAGGAGGCCACCCTGTCTAGAGCCGAAGGGAGGCCTGTGGCCTGGGAGGGCTGCTGGGGCAACTGGGATTCGCCCTGAGAGTCAGGGAAAGAAGGAAGTTACAGCAGAATTTGGTGTAATGAGGGCCAAGCAGACCTAATCGTCCAGCCCCCAGAAGCAGAAAAACAAAACACAGTAAAACAACAGGGAACCCCAGCTCACATCCTTAGGTGCAGCAGATTAACGGAGTCAATAAAGGCTACCATAGAGATAAGATAATGCCTGGGCATATTTGTTTAGCCCGCGCAGACAATGGAGGGAGGGCGTTTGCTCATTAACGTGTTGGGGTGGGGTGGGGGCCTCGTTCACAGAACATCCAGGGGATGACAGGAACTCCCATGGTGGCCGCCAGTCCCGAGAGGCACGACGGTGGCTTGCAGGCCAACCCCGTGGAGGTGCAGAGTTACCAGCCGCCATGGAAAGTACTGAGCGACTTCGCCTTGCAGAGTGACATAGATCAGCCTGCTTTTCAGCAACTGGTGAGTGTCAGCTCCCAGCGCAAGTCTCCACCAGCAAGGAGGTTCTGGTGTAACCACCTCGAAAAGAAAGATCCCAGGGGTGGGGGTGGGGGGACGGGTGCGTCCCTGGGCCCAGGGTTGGGCAGAGATGAGGGTGGTGTGGGGAGGAGGAGGAGCAGGCTTGCAAGGAAAACAAACCTCCCGTGAGCCTTTTCTGTGAGTGCCTTCATTTGACCATCCAGGCTGCATTGTCTGCCAGTCCTGCTTTGATGGATTGGCTTCAAGGTGCCCGACTAAATCGCCCTGCTTGGGAAGGCGCCGGCTTGCAGAAGCACACCTCTCCGACTTGGGAGTGCGGAGGGACTTGAGAGAGCACCTTGACACTTTAATCAGCAATTAGTGTGTGTTTCAGGGCCTAAATCAGAGCGATGTTAGTAATGGTGACGGGCAGGATCAGTGTCATTACCAGTGGGCAGCAGGCATCTGTCTGGGTACGGGTTCAGATACATCAAGAAAGAGTCCAGTTATTATTCAAAGACAGGACCCATAGGTTGTGTTACGATAGCCCTTTCTGGGACTGCCCTCATCTGAAATGCGGGACTGTTGAAACATTTTTAAGTATAGGAGTTCAAATTTCACACTTAGTAACATACTGCTGAGCATGTATTTAGCAAAAGGGAACACGAGTTCCGACCCATCAGAGAGATACCAGGTGGAAATCTCTTAGAAAGCTTTACACATCCAGAAAAGAGAAAAGGAGCTCACCTTTCACCTACAAAAGGCTTAAAGGTCAAGATAAGTAAGATCATTAAATATACGTCCTCTGTGGTGTACGTACACATAAGATTTTTTTTTTTGCTTAAATAGTAAACAGCCCTAGAGAATCTTGTATGACATCAGATCTATCCGAAGAGCTTGCTCCTTTCCTTGGAAATGCCAGTTTACTTGAGGTTAGCTTCTTACCCTCGCATTACCGGGAGGGCATTTTCTTCCGCTGTGGCCACACATAGGCAATGGGCCAGAGTCCGGGTTCCCCTGGCCTGGCCCAGGTTTCTGTCTGTAAATCGGCCAGGCTGGGAAAATCTGAGGAGTCCTCCGACCTCCCGGTGGGAAAGCTGAGCATCGAGGAGAGGAAGGCGCCTCTGGAATGAGGAACCGTCACTTCTTTAAAGTCAGGTTAATCTCATGAGTTATTTAGGTGGAACCTGGACCCTAGAGGGCAGGTGGGGGAGAATGCGGGGCAGCTTCCGAAAGGGCAGTGACGGATGTGAGCAGAAGGAGGAACCCAGGCAGGAGGCGCGGGTGGGGGCTGGGCAGAGGAGCTTTGCAGCAGCAACACTACTTTCTGGGCTCCAAAGGAGCCCCGTATTTATAATGCGATGACCTTATAATCTATGGGTCTCCTCTGGGAAGGGAGAGCCCGGCTTAAAGAGAAAGAGGAGATGAGGAGACGGAGAAAGGCCCACAGGCTGCAGGGCCAACGAGGAAGGAAGCCGGGGCTGCGAGCCCTCGGAGGAGGCCATCACTCTTTCTTGGGGCCTCCCTGGAATCGCCAGTCACAGGAGCTGAGTGTTATGGATTTTCCAACTCCAGGGGAGAGGTTGTGATGCCTGGAGGAGACAGCACTCGCCTGCTCCCCCTGCTCCCGGGGCAACACGTAGCCGGCAGGAGGATTTTATCTCGAGCATGCCATGCGTGGTAGAGTCTCGATGCCATCCTACAGTGGGAAACACATTTGTTCTTAAATAATTTAAGGCAACATAAGGTTGGGAATTCAGGTTCAGCTCCAACAGGTCTCTTGGAGGATGGGAAATGGAGAGGGTTCCTCCTCAAATCCTTTTCCTGGGAGGCTTGCTTTAAGCCTGTTAAAATGGAGTCCGGTTCCCGGATAGCTCTCTCTACATATCCCTCTGTCCACACACACCGGTCCCGCAGGCACCCACTCACAGGCGATCCGATCATCCTTTCCTGCATGTGATCAAAGCCTCCTTCATTCACTTCTCAACCTTCCACGCAGGTCAATTTCTCCGAGGGAGGACCGGGCTCGAACTCCACCGGCAGCGAAGTGGCCTCCATGTCCTCGCAGCTCCCGGACACCCCCAACAGCATGGTGGCCAGCCCCATCGAGGCCTGAGAACACTCACGCAGATGCATTTTTTTCCCTGTTGGAGACAGTGGGCGCCCATCCCGTTGAACTCCAAAACACGAGTATTTAACGACCCAGTCCATGGAAACTGAATTGAGGAAATGAATGCTCCATGAAATGCACGAAGTCTGTTTTAATGACAAGGTAATATGGTAGCAACACTGTGAAGACAATCATGGGATTTTACTAGAATGAAAACAAACAACAAAGCAAAACCCGAACCCAACACTCACTATCCAGTGACCTTAGGAGGACTGAGGAAAAAAAAAAAAGACGTTTTTAAAACGTAGAGGATTTATATTCAAGGATCTCAAAAAAAAAAAAAAAAAAGCGCGCTTTCATTTCACTGCCCATCTAGAGAGAAGCAGACGTAGCGATGTTTCTAGTCCGCCCCGCTCTGAATGGTGCTGTTTCTATGTTGGTCCCCGGCTTTGCCAAACAGGAGCCGCAGGCGGAGCGGCTGAAAGGCCCTTTCAGGAGAGGGCGCTGGTCGGCGAGGTTTCCAGTTGACTTAACAAGGGGTTAATTGAAAGCCTGGGTTTCTTAGCATGTCCCTTTATTTTTTTTCCTTTGGCCCCTTCTCCCCCGCCTCCTCTTTTTTTGAGATCCATCCTCTATCAAGAAGTCTGAAGCGACTTTAAAGGTTTTTGAATCCAGATTTAAAAACCGACTTATAAAGCATTGCAACAAGGTTACCTCTATTTTGCCACAAGCGTCTCGGGATTGTGTTTGACTCTCCTGTCTGTCCAAGAACTTTCCCCCCAAAGATGTGTATAGTTATCGGTTAAAATGACTGTTTCTCTCTCTCTCTCTCTCTCTCTCTCTCTCTCTCTCTCTCTGGAAATAAAGAGGAAAAGAAAAAGGAAACTTTTTTTTTGTTTGCTCTTGCATTGCAAAAGAATTATAAAGTAATTTATTATTTATTGTCGGAAGACTTGCCACTTTTCATGTCATTTGACATTATTTTTTTGTTTGCTGAAGTAAAAAAAAGAAAGAAGACAAAGGTTGTACCGTGGTCTTTGAATTATATGTCGACTTCTATGTGTTTTGTCATTTTTTTTTTCCTTAAATATGTGAAAATCAAAGCGCCATATGTAGGATTATATCTTCAGGACTATTTCACTAATAAACGTTTGGCATAGATAAATAAATAAATGCAACGGCCCAGGTCCCTGTTTTATATGTTTACCAGCGAGCCTTCACGACGCCTGCAAGTAGTGCTGCCTGTGAAGGGGGTAGACGCGCAGGCCCTGCGAGGTTTCCCTGTTCCATGAAGGCTGAGCTTGCGGGTCTGCATTGCGGTGGTGGGACCGCCTAGCTCAGTGGTTCTCAACCTTCCTCATGCCCTGACCCTTTAATACAGTTCCTCATGTTGTGGTGACCCCCAACCATAAAATTATTTTCGTGGCTATTTCATAACTGTAATTTTGCTACTGTTATGAATCATAATGTAAATATCTGATATGCAGGATGTATTTTCGAAAGACCCCTATGAAAGGGTCGTTCGACCCCCAAAGGGGTCGCGACCCACAGGTTGAGAACCGCTGGCCTAGCTGGAAGCCTCCAGCTCTCAGCGGTAGCAATATTACTGGTTTTTGAAAATTAGATGCTGTCCTCCTGACTGCCCCCCCCCCACCTCTCCTTCCTCCTGTCCCTTTTCTTGCCCAACCCCCCTGCACCACACGTCAAATAGGAAGAGAGGTCCTGCTTTATTTTCTTAAAGGCTAAGTGCTTTCTTTCAACCAAAGTGTCCTGCGTGGGACTGTGGCAGGGACTCCTATTCAAGTGCGAGCTCTTGCTCTCAGAGGGGCTATCTGCGTAGCCAGTGGGGCCGGACATTCCTACCGGTGCTGCCGTCAGCCCCTGGAGAACTGCTGCTGTATTTATCAGGAGGAACAGGCGGGGGAGGAGACAGATCAGCCTGTGTGTCTTCTTGGTTCCCCCACCCGGTCCCCAGCTGTTCCCTAAGCCCCGCACCCCACCCCTGACTTCTCCCGCAATGCCAATTCCAAAAACCTTGGAGGGTGGCTGGTTGGGTCTGGGCACACAGAGGAGGCCCAGTTGGGGAACCGCCTTTAGGGGATGGGGGCCCGTCTTGCACTCTGCGAGACCCAAGGACTTCCCTCTCTCTCACACGTGTCCCCTGGTGTCTAGCAGTAGCCCCTGTGTGAGAGCCAGCGCCCATCCAAAGGCCGGTTTCTCCCTGCTGCTGCTTCCTCCCTTTCGGGCATAGAGTGGGGGTTGGGGCTCCACCGCGTCCCCTCCCCCATGATACTCGCACTCTTTAGAAGCTGGATTCAGTTGTCCTCGGGAGTGTAATGCCATGTTTTAAATATCTGACAACTCGTAATACCTAATACCTACGAAAGCGAGCGAACCCTAATCCTGTGTCTATGGCTGGTGCCCCTCGGACCCCTGCCAGGGAGCAGGGCGGAGGCCAGCCTGGCTCCCAGCTCTCTGATCGCTGTGCCCCTTTCCAAACCTTCGCAATTCAGGGAAACAGGCTCAATTAGGCTTTTGTTTGGCCTGGGTCTACCGAACGGGTTAATTACAGGTCCCACGTGGGGACTGAGAGAAAACAAACTTTGCATTGACGATGTTACAGCGCATTAGACCTGCCCCTGGATTGCTTTGATTGTTGCCTGATTCTTGACAGAGGGGTAATAGTTTGGCTCCGGGTCATAATGGCTTGTAGTGTGTTGAGAAAAACAGGAGTTATGTCTTATCTCACACAGATCTTCTCTGGAGGGAAAGCCCCCCCCCCCTCTTTCCTTTTTTATTTGCCTTTTCTTTCTCTCCCTTGTCTGTTTCTTGCAGGGGACCTGACTCTGTTAGCTTCCTGTTCACAATCTCTATTTGTCTGCCTTTTCCGTTTTCCTCACCATCACACCTGGGACAGACAAAGAACTGACTAGAAAGGTTGCAGGTCCAGCGTGCATGCTGGTGTCGCAGGGAGTCCTGGTCCTTAAGCCCTCTCCCCTCGCCTGAGCCTCTGCTAGACTATTGTGACCACTTACGACCTGGAGATGGAAAAAAAAAACAAAACCCAAAACTTTATTTAGGGTTCGTTCGAATGCCATGGAAGGACTTCGGTGAGGCACACATCTTTGTGATGCTTCATCATCCTGACATTTATTTCTAAGATTAGGGCGGGGTGTGTGTGTGTGTGTGTGTGTGTGTGTGTGTGTGTGTGTGGTGGCAGGGTGGGGGGGATGATGTTTTACATATGTGGATGGCAGTCTGTCCTGAAGTCCACAGCTTGAATTGAAGTGCAGGACTTTGGGAGGGGAGTGAGGAATGATTTGGTTTCACTTGCTGGATTCAAGGTATTTGTTGCCTGACGGCGGAGAGTGGACGGATGGGTCGATAGCATCCCGGTTCTTGTATTATTCATAGGAAAGGTGTGTTCCCTCTCCGCTCTTCAGCCAGTGCTCTCCAGTGCGCAGCTGAAATGTCTCTTGTTTGCAAGCCCTCTCCTGTGCACACACCCTTTTCCCTGCACACCTCTGGGGACCCCTCTTCCCATGGAATTCCTCTTGTTTGCTGTTATCTTGGATCCTCCCTCCCCTATGACTCTGCATTCTCCCTTCTGGCCTTTGTGACTCATGCCCTCCCGCTTCTGCAAGCTAAAATGGGATGCACCTGACACCATCCGGCCAGGATGCTCCCCTCAAATTGGGGATCCATATCCGTATCTGTGCTCTCACAGACAGGATTGCCCCCCACACCCCCCTCATTGTTTCAGAGCTGTCACCTTGTTTCAGTCTGCTGTCTTTCCTTTGCATCACGTGGACCTGGCTTTTCTTACCATTAAAAAAAAATTCCCTCCTCAGCTAGAATTACATGCCTGACGATATTTTTCTTCATGGAAATAACATTTCTGATCATTGGAGATTCTATGGGGGGGGTGTGTACCCACTTAACCATTCCACCGTTTTTTGTGGGATTCAATATTAAAAGGCGACTTTGTGCAGCTCTGCCTCTGGTTGTGAAACTGATCTTTGAAGGACCTTTTTTCTGGCCCATCCTATCCAGCCCAAAAGACAGTGTGCTCTGAAGGCACCTAGAAGCTCTTCGCATTTCCCTAGCACCTTGAAATTCAAGTCATAAGATGGTTCTCATGGGAATGCCTGGAAAATCCCACGTGGACTTACTTAGTCTTTTCCCTTTTCTTTAAAAAGAAGAGGGAGAGGGGGAGTTAAAACTCCGTGGAAACCACCAGAAAAGCTACCTTTGGTGGAACCCAGCCAGTCAGGTTTTAACCTCACCCCTCCTGTAAGCAAACTAAGCAGAAAGGACTTCCTTCTTATTCACAAAGTTCCTGTGGCCAACGACTAAGAGGAGATTTCCAACCCAAATTATGCTTGAGTTCCACTCATTTCCTATTTTCTTCCTCTCTGCCCAGCAGCAGTTAAAGGTGACGTCACAGCAGCGAGGCAAGTCACCTTTCCTTTGGGGGCTCAGGGGAGAGAGGGAGCCGGGGGTAATTTTTATGCCTCTCTTTTAAAAAGTGCTCCTTTTGCAAATGACCCCACATCTCGAATCCTCCGCGTTTAACGCTTTAACAATAAGAACAGTTCACGTGTACAGTGTGCGTGGCTGTTTTTCAACTAAAAGTGCGTGGCGCTCCTTCAGGGCGCTGAAGGCCCCTTCTGTTTACTGATCTTTCCTGATTGTTGTTTTCTTGATAAGCGAGCAAAGCCACTGAACGGCTGTTGGAGCCCTGGCGCCGCAAACATAAACTTCACAGCTTACACTGTCCCGGGCCTGATGGGGGATCTCTCCACACCTCCCGGGGACTCTGAAGTGCAGACAGAGCCCCTGGTTCACAGGCAGCGAGGGAGGGGGAGGGGGAGAGGGAGGGGGAGGGCGGTGGGGGAGGGGGGACTGCGGGGTGTTTGCTGGCAGCAGCATTGTTGCCATCACGTCCTTTCATTTCTCTGGCGCTGAAGCTGTGGCTCCGAGAAGCCCGTCTGGTCTTCCCAGCGCCGCTCTGTGCAGACCGTGGGGCTCTTTCTGTTTTTTGGGAAATGGCTTTTGCAGATCTCTGCTTGCTGAGCCCTCTGCAAAGGCGCGAAGCCATGGTCCTGGAAAGAAAACACCCCCCTCCCCCAAGGGGACGCCTAGATTTGGGGGAACGGTGTGTGTGTGTGGGGGGGGGGGTGCTGTTAGCCAGGTGGGAAAGGCCTGCCCAGCGACCCCGAGGGCCCGTCCAGCGTGGGAACCCCTCCCGTTCTGCCCATCCAGGTGCCTGTGCGTTGCAGGTGATGGTGCTGGAGGGTGGGTTCAGTGGCAGCTACTCCGCCGGCGGCCCGTGGGCCCTGTGCAGC